CATCTCTTGAAAGATAGGATTTATTAAGAGAATTAAAGACTGCGTCAATTTCTGAAATCATTTTTTGTTTTACATTTGGATATTTACAAAGATAATAGATTATACAGCAAAATGTGTTAGCAGTCTAAATATAGACAAACAGATAATAGTAAATAAGCAAATATAAAATAAGTAGATGTAAAATAAGTAAATTATATGTGAAATTGATAAATAAATTGATAAGGGAGATATTACTTACTGTATTTGTTCCACCTCCGAAAGCTTCTACCAAATTACTTCTGATGTCTTCGTCATTCATAGGTTCAAACGTCTCACCGCCTACAGTTTTTGCATTAAATGTATCCCTTTCAGTATTTGCAATGATTAAGGAAGTCAGCATATCAGTTCTCATTTCTGCACCCATTGGCATTTCTTCAATCTCTTTTCTTCTCTTTTTAATCATGAGATTTAATTTTTCATGTAGATAATCGCGATTTTTTAAGTAAGCATTTGCCATATTTCTGATAATTGGAACGTAATGTCTCAGGAATGGGCCAGCCAACGTGAAGAGTATGAGACTTTCAACATGTTTTATTAATGATTTAACGAATTCATTCCCATCTTCAACTAATGCATCAGGATATTCAGACTTGACAGTACTTTGCGTATTATAGTAGGAGGCAATTGAATATGTACGTTCACCAGTGGTTATTATTGAAATAATATCATTCGTAAATGCATGAAACCATTCAGAAAAATCTGTTTCTAGAATCCAATTATCGTTGTTATTATTATTTGAGGCATTTTGCATTCCAAGGGACTGCCAATATTTTCTCAATTCTTCAAATAATTTATTTGTAGAATTTATGGCCGTATGCATAAAGCTAGGTACCATTAATGCCTGAATAAAGAACTGTTTATTATACTTCCAACTTTTATAAACATGATTAGCTCCGATTCCACGTCCGTAAAATCCAAGTTCATCTAGACTTTTGAATATGGAAACCTTATGAAATATTTCGAACACAAAATTTTTTCAATATATTCTGGTCGTGATAGAATGATACATCTACGTCCATTTAACATTATTTCACAGATATCTCCATATTCCAATCGACATTTATTATAGAATAGTTTTGTATCGCAAAAAGCGACGTTAAGAAGGTTTCCAAAGAATGGTAAAGGCAATGGACCAGGGAGTGGATTGGGGCGAGTTAAGTATTTATAATAAAAGTTAAAAACATAAGTAGCGACAATTAGGATGAAAAAGAGAAAATAATCTCTAATATTAAGGACTTCAATAATTTTTTGAACAGCCATTTTGAATTA